CCTTCCTTCCTTCCTTCCTTCCTTCCTTCCTTCCTTCCTTCCTTCCTCTATCAATCTTTATTTGTTTGCCTGCAGTTGTGTTTCAGAAAGAGGAAGAAGCAGCTTTAGGATCTTGGGTGCGTTTGTGTGTTTGTGTGTTGTCTCTCTTTTTAAATTCTCTCCTTTTTTAAAAATAAAAAAACAACAGCCTTTCCCCATCATTTCGGTGAAATTGTCATTCTTTGAAAGCTGTTAGGCTCTCACCTCCTCACCGGCTTGACACACTACCCCTGGCCTCATTCACACGGCGCATCAAACCATAGTTTGATCGTGGTTTAGTGGAGTAACCGTGTTGTGGCTTTGCATAATCAGCTCAGCCCTAACTGGGCTTATGGGGAGTATAACAGCCATCAAACACCGTAGCCACTTTTCCACAAATCTCTGTTAAAATTGGAGTTCCGCAGCTCAACGCAATGTAATTTGAAGGAATCTTTGCTTCTATCTCACCCACCTCAATTTCACTGGGTTCAATATTTGGAAAGACAGAGACAATTTTTTGCTACTCAATCCCTACTATGCCTCATTTATACTTTTGACTTGAAGCCTGACTTGAGCTGTTTTAAAATAATGGCAAATTAAAATTATTCTGATATTTAGAAGTCTTTAGAACACTGGATTTTTTTTTTTCATCACAAAATTGTACTATATTCTCTGAACAGACTTCTGGTTAACCAGATTGGTTAAAAAAAAAAACCTGGTTGGCCTTAACCTGGGTTAATGGGAAGACCATGAAGTGATTTTTCCTTTTCTTTGTTCGCATCTGGGCTTGTTTGTTCTTTCTTTCCTTGTTTTTAAATGTTTTTTCCCCCATTCGTAAACAGCTCAGAATCGCTACAAGTTGGGCAGCCTGTAAATTGAATAAATTATGAATATTAATATTAATATTCACGTGTTTGGGGAATCTGTCTGGCCTGGTTAGCTTCGGGATGGATTGTGGGAATTCGGGAACAGGCTAAGTTTTTTTTTTTAGTAAGTTTTTATTTTATTTTATTTAAAGTACATACAATTCATCTTCCATTTAAGGGTGTGTTGTCTGGGTACAAAAATATCTTGTATAGTAACAATTAAAGTTTACATCCGTGTTCGTTACTTTAGTATTAATTCTCTATTCTTATCTTATTCTTGTTGATATACATAATATCTCTATTACTGTAACTCTCCTCTTCTTAACACGTTTAATTCTATTAACATCTTTTCTATATTTCACTATATTAGCTATTTCTAGCTTTCATATTTTTTTCTCTAGCCATCGATAGAATAGTTCCCGTATTTTATACTATTCAGTTTACTCCTCCTCTTTAAGTGTTAAATCTATTCATTTCTATTCATCCCAATATTCATCTGTTAGGAATCTCTTTGCTTTTCTAATTTTGAGCAAATACAATTCTAGCTGTGGTTAATAATCAAGGCTAAGTTTAATAACCAGGTTTAGCACGCCGGTGGGTTATTTTTTTCCTCTTCCTACAACGCGTGTTTTCCTTTTCTCTCCTATCCCCCCCATTGCAGCGTCTCTTCGGGGCCTGACCAGCAAATGCCATGGAATTTTGTGCTAAGAAACACCCCACAGGTAAGACTCAGTATCCCACCTTTTTCTACCGGCGAGGAAACAAGGTTTCAGGTAGACTGGGCTTAGCCTAAGAAGCTCGGCGGGAGGAAGAATCCAAGGCCCCAATTTCTGCAGAAAAGTGTAAAGCTGATAGGCAGTTTTGTCTAGTGGTTAAAGCACTAGGCTGGGAAGTAGGAGAGGGTGAATTCGAGTCCTGCCTTAGAAAGTGGATTGGGTGACTTCGGGCCAGGTGACTGTGAGTTCTAGTCCCACCTTAGGCATGAAAGCCTGTTGGGTGAATCTGGGTTAGTCTCTGTCTCTCATAACCCAGATCACCTCACAAAGTGGGGTGGGCTAGAAGACCTCCAAGGTCCCTTCCAGCCCACGATTCCGTGAACTTGAGAAGAGGAGGCTGGACTAGAAGACCTCCAGGGTCCCTTCCAGCCCACGATTCCATGAACTTGAGCAGAGGGGGGCTGGACTAGAAGATCTCCAAGGTCCCTTCCAGCCCTAAGGCCCTATGTCCTATTCGCCCGATCCAGCCTTCCCATGCGAGGGAAGAACGGAATGCCACAATCCTTAAGAAGGAGGGAGAGTTTTAATTGGATTTTCTAGACTTTTTTGGGGGGGGTCTTATTTTCTTTTCGGCTGATCCATCCCTCAGCCCCCCCTTTTCTGAAGAAGGGTCCGCAGCAAAGCCCCCCCCCCCCGTTTCCCCCCCCCCCACCCGTTCCCCCCTCCCTCAAGCGGTCGTCTTGGTGACGCCATCCTTGCCCCTGATTGGCTGCTGTGCGGCAGTGGGAGGTTGTTCCCCCCCCCCTCCTCCTTCTCCTTCAATGTCAGGGTAGACTTTCTCTTCTGCAGCCGGTCGGTCGGTGTCGAAGGGGTGGGGGGGGGGAGAAAAGGGACTCCCTGAGACCATCTGTCCCATCCGGGAGACAGACCACACACACACACACACAGAGAGACACTGGGCCGTAACCATGACGATCCCCAAAGAGATGCCCGAGAAATGGCCCTGGGTCGCCGTAACGACCACGGATGCCCGCCGCCAGCCTCTTTGGGGGACAGGTAGGAAAGGGAGGGGGGGGGTCTCTCCTTGGGGAAAAAATGGGGTGGGGTTTTTTTTTTTCATGCCAGGCCAGTGGTCCTCGCTTTTGTCCTGCCAGGGTCTCTCCAGGGAGGGTGTAGTACTTGCTGCGGCACTCTTCACACATTACCTCATCTTCTTCCCCCCCCCCCCCGGCCCCCCCCCCCCCCCGCCTCCCCCCCCCCCAGTTCCCTTGCATTATGGACATGGAGGGGGGGGGATAAGCCTGGTTTTTCCTGCACCCCCCACCCCGGAAAAAGCCAATTCTTTCCACTTTTCATAAAAGTGACCTTGTGTTCAGCTGCCAGAAAGGCAGCCTCTCCGTGGTAGGATTCAGAATGGGTGGTTGGTTGGTTGGTGTCTTTCTTTCTTTCTTTCTTTCTTTCTTTCTTTCTTCCTTCCTTCCTTCCTTCCTTCCTTCCTTCCTTCCTTCCTTCTTTCATTCCTTCCGTTTCTTTCTTTCTTCCTTCCTTCCTTCCTTCCTTCCTTCCTTCCGTTTCTTTCTTCCTTCCTTCCTTCCTTCCTTCCTTCTTTCTTTCATTCCTTCCATTTTTTTTCTTTCTTTCTTTCTTTCTTTCTTTCTCTTTCTTTCTTTCTTTCTTTCTTCCTTTCTTCCTTCCTTCTTTCTTTCATTCCTTCCGTTTTTTTCTTTCTTCTTCTTCTTTCTTTCCCTCCTTCTCCAATTTTCCTTTCTTCCCTCCCTGCCTCCTTTCTTTCTTTCTTCTCCTTTCTTTTTCCTGCTTCTCCTTTTTTTTCTCCTCCTTCCTTCCTTCTTCTTTCCTTCCTCCTCCAGTTTCTTTTTCCTCTTCCTGTTCTCCTTCTCTTCCTCCTCCTTCCTCTTCTTCCTCCTCTTCATCTTCCTGTTTTCCTCCTCCTTCTCCTCCTCCTCCTCCTTCCTCTTCCTCCTCTTCGTCTTCCTGTTCTCCTCCTCCTCCTCCTTCCTGTTATTCTTCTCCTCCTCCTCTTCCTTCTTCTTTCCTTTCTCCTCCACTACTACTACTTCTACTACTACTACTACTAGTTCTTCTTCTTCTTCTTCTTCTTCTTCTTCTTCTCCTCCTCCTCCTCCTCCTCCTCCTCCTCCTCCTCCTCCTCCTCCTCCTCCTCCTCCTCCTTCTCCAACCAGCAAACCTGCTACCAAGAATAGACCACAGCTGACCACCTCGTCCTTACCCAGCTCGGCTCCACCGGGAACTCTCGAATCCGCTCCCAGCGTCTCCGACTCAAACTAACATTCGATTTAAATCCCGGATAAAAGAAAAGGGGGGAAGATAACCGTGGGGTTTGGTGGTTTTTTTTGGTCGATTCTTGGGGTTCGTCCCAGCTCATCCGGATCAATTTCTCTTCCAGAGGAGGAACGGCGAGTGAAGGCCAACTCTAGAGAATACAACGAAAAATTTCAATATGCGGTGAGCGGCAGCCGAAAATTGCGTGCAAATTTATTATTTTTTTTTACCTTTGGCACCCACGCCGTTCGCTTCCGCGTGGCTGAAACGGGGTGACCGGCTCTCTTTAAATTGGGGTCCCCGACACCCCCCCGCTTTGACGCCTGGGGAGTTCCACCACCCATCCAGCCCGGCAGGGGATAATGGGAGCAACCTTCCGGATTCCGTAAGGCTGCAAATTTTGCCTCCAGCCGAAACATTTTTCCCAATTTCCCCAAAATTCAAATTTTGGGGGTCTGGAGAGAAGATTGATCTCTAGTTTGCATTTGGGTTCTTTCCCCCGATTTTCCAAAGTCCACGTTGTCGTGTTGCGTGAAAACAACCCCAAATGAGTGACTCACAATCCTGGCTGAGCCGGCAAAAGGGACTTTGCCCACGTTAACCCAGTTAAGCAGCCAAAACCACCTTAGGGGAAACCAAGCCAAAGGACAAACAGACAATCTCTTTTATAGCTAGTCCTCCACCCGAATTGGTGCAGTAGGGTTTCCTGCTTAAACGGGGTTGGACTAGAAGACCTCTAAAGTCCCTTCCAACTCTATGTATGTCTATGTACCGACGACCACAACATTTCTGTGGCTGAGGGAGACATTTATGAAGTTGACTTTTGACTCATTTTGTGGCATCTTCCTTGCCAGAGCTGTTAACGTAATCCCTGCACTTGGTGAGTTATTCACACGGTCGTTAAGCGAATCAAGCATGGACTTGGCTTATCGGAAGGTCGCAAAAAGGGGGTCAGGGACATTACAACCGTCGTAAAATACGTGTCTGTTGCCAAGCGCCCGAATTTTGATCACGTGACCACAGGGGGAAATACTATGACGGTCATGAGTGTGAAAAATTGGTCGTAAGTGTGAAAAACAGCCCTAAGTCGCTTTTTCAGGGCCCTTCAAACTTCCAGCGGTCACTAAACGAACGGCTGTAAGTCTGAGGAGTAACTTTATTCTCTGATTTCTGCAACTGTCTGTCCATGGACTCAAAAACAGGAAAAACATAAAACCTCCAGACCTCTTTTTTCTGATCTATCTGCTTTTCAAATTCTGCATTTCTTTTGTCCTTTAAATTTTGCTTTGGCTCTATTTATAATTTATATTTACATCATTTATATGTATATTTATACTTATATATTTATAATTATATCATTTGCATCATTTATATTTATATTTATATCATTTATATTTATATCATTTATAATTATATCATTTATATTTACATTTATATTGTTGATGTTTATATTTATATGATTGATACAGTATTTATATTGATATTTATTGGTATTATTATATATTATAATTTATATTATTGATATTTATTGATATTTTTTTTAAAATTTCTCCCGCTTCTCTGCAGAGTAACTGCATCAAGACGTCAAAATACAACGTGGTCACTTTCCTACCCATCAACCTGTTCGAACAGTTCCAGGAAGTCGCAAATACTTACTTCCTTTTCCTCCTTATTCTCCAGGTGAGGGTTTTTTGGGGGGTGGGTGGGTGGGAGGGAACGTAAATCTGGGGGTTGGCCCCTTTTTCTTCCGTGGGGGGCCAACCTCCAAGCTTCCCGCTTTGGCACACGGTGGACCCCCCCCCCGGAAACCACAGTTTGGCCCAGTTAACTCCGCCACCCGCACCCTCCAAAATAAATTTTTTTTAAAAAAAAATCCTGAAAGTATCTTGCTTTCATTTACGGATATTCGTTTTCTTGCTTTCTCGTTTTTCCTTCCATTTTTCCTTCCTCTCCAAGGTTTTTGCTCTGAGGTTCTCTCTTTCCTTCCTTTTTCTCATATTCTCCTTCGTTCTTTCCTTCCTTCCTTCTCTATCCCGTTCCCTCTTTCTCTTTCTAACTTGATTCTCTCTTCCCTTTTACCTCTCTCTTTTCTTCCATTCTCTTTCTTTCTCTCTGTCTTCCTTCCTCCCTCTTCCTTCCTTCTTCCTTCCTCCCTTCCTTCATTTTTCTTTCCTTCCTCCCTCCCTCCCTCTCCTTCCTTCCTTTCCCTTTTCTAACCCTTCCCCC